ATGAACCCCAAGTGTGTGACCATTCAAATAAAAGCTATTATGCAGTTCGTTCATGCGGTACTGTTTATCACGCTGTTCAAGGTGGTTCTAACTTTGAAGTCTGTGGATGAAACCCTTGTGTTATATAAGACAGTCGCAGTTATCGCAACAGAAACTTACGCTGCTGTCTGGATCCAAGAAACTCCATCCACCATTCTCAATAAACGCTTCAGGATCCTCGTTAATCGTCTTCATGATCTTGGCCCAGTTCAAGCTCTGGATTCCTTCCGTGTATTTAATATCACATGAACTGAAGAGTACAGAGAAAGAGAAAATTGACAGTTAGACAAGTTAATAGTGCAACTTTGAAAAGACTGATCTGATTGATCTGGTGAAGGGAAGTTTACAATAAGTAATTTGATTAGCTTCCTTAAAGGAGCTACGTCACGGTTTGCGCATCTTGTAAAGTTTAGGCTAAATTTTCAAGTTCGTTGTTTATAATCCGTGTCAATCTTCTCCATCCTTTGCCATCCTTGTTCCTCTATGGTTTATTATTATCTCTTTGGTGTTTTTCTATCATGGTAAACCACTATTTTCAGGCGATTTTGTACGTGGCCAAAATAACTGAAAATACCATGACTGAGCTCCTTTGAACACTGTCAAAACATAATGACTACATTTAACACTTAACCCTTTGAATACCAACTACGCATATATATACGTAATTAATGGTCGTGCTCTTTGTACCACTTGTGACGTCATCAATTTAAATGTCATCAGATATTCTTGATAAGCAGATAGCAGTGCTAGGCTAGCCCTTTCCGCACAATGGTCAGGTTTAGATATCGACGACATTCCGACGTCGCNTTCTCAATAAACGCTTCAGGATCCTCGTTAATCGTCTTCATGATCTTGGCCCAGTTCAAGCTCTGGATGCCTTCCGTGTATTTAATATCACATGAACTGAAGAGTACAAAGAAAGAGAAAGTTGACAGTTAGACAGGTTAATAGTGCTACTTTGAAAAGACTGATCTGATTGATCTGGTCAAGGGAAGGTTACAATAAATAATTTGATTAGCTTCCTTAAAGGAGCTACGTCACGGTTTCCGCATCTTGTAAAGTTCAGGCTAAATTTTCAAGTTCGTCGTTTGTAATCCGTGTTAATCTTCTCCATCCTTTATCATCCTTGTTCCTCTATGGTTTATTATTATCTCTTTGGTGTTTTTCTATCATAGTAAACTACTATTTTCAGGTTTCCTTCAATTTTAAGACGATTTTGTACGTGGCCAAAATAACTGGAAATACCATGACTGAGCTCCTTTGAACACTCTGTCAAAACATAATGACTACATTTAACACTTAATGACTGGTCCCGAGGGGAACAGTGAATTTTGTTTCCCAAGAATCTCAATGTTTCCCGAGGCGAAGTCGAGGAAAACAAAATTCACTGTTCCCCAAGGGACCAGTCATTAACTGATTTGTTATATAGCAAAACAAATGGGTCAAACCGGTGGAAAACAAATAATCTCTCTATTGACAAATGACGTGCAACAGCGGTCAACATTTCGCGGGTAACAGTGAACTGTTCCCCGTTTGATGTAATAGTTTTCACAATGTTGCCCGCTCATGGCATTTGGCAGGAAACAGTTTCATTGTTAGATGTCATGTGACCATGAACTAGCCAATGAATGGGCGCGCTGTAGCGGG